TATGTACATCAGCATTTAAAAATAAAATAAAATATAATCGGCTTAACCGTTTACAGAACAACAAAAAAGGGTGGTTCTTATCGTTGCAGGAAAAAAGATGCTTGTTTCGCTACTGCAGGATACCGTCATCTTTGAACGGCTTTTAAAAAATTTAAATATTCGTGTGTATCGATCAAACGATATAATACCAAAATTAAAAATCAGAATGTTAATAAAACAATATTGTATAATATTATGAAAAAATTGGGGTGAACATCGCATGCTCGGCAAATGTATATTCGACTTTGACGTCGTTAGACTTTGTGGACGAACAAAATGCTGTACTATGTATAGGTACCTCATCCGATCGGATATTGTCATTTTTTAATATTATTACTTTTATTCCGAACAGTCTACGCTCAAGTTCTATTATATATTTATATATTTATATTAGTAATGTGTGAGTGTGTGTGTGCGTGTATCGCAATAAGCAAACACTCGAAACATTATTATTATATTTTCTTTCTACTACCCTTTCGCGTGTATAAAATTGAATCTCCTCGGGACAGGCTGAAACTGCACAGACGGGCAAGGGTAGCTTAAAGCTCGCCATTCTTGCATAGGATATTGACCACAGGGTACATATATATGTATAGGTATATTATAATATAAATTTATTTAATAGCGGATGTCGCAGATGTGATAGTATAATGTATACATGTAACCTATGCCGTTCGCGAGGGACCTGGGAATACAGAGAGAGCATACAATACCTACAATAACCGACATGATACTAGTGAATTCACGACTACTGCGGCTGGGGTTCAAAAAAATGTTATTAAAAAATCCAAAAGTTGCAGTATGGGTATATATAGGTACATTAAATAATCAAAATATGTACATCACAAAAGACATTCCAACCACGCCTTATAATATTATGTTATACTGTAAATGCCCGATCACTAGGTAAATCTAGGTTTTTCCAAAGTCGGTGCTTCTAGGATTTACTGTTTGTACTCGGTAATATAGCTGAACACCACAAGTATTCTATTCGAGCTTTTACTCTAAACACGTTCCGAAAAGATGAGTTCACGACTTGAGTTATAGTCAAAGTTGACGAATACACGAAAAATAAAAATGACCCTGTAAAAACAATTGTAAGTATGTATAACTATAGAGCTTGGATGTAAGAATGTTGTTGCATTTGTCAATTTTCTTCGACTGTTTTCCCAATTTACCACCAAGTCAGTTTTAAATGCATTCCATACAATATAAAGAATTAATATACTTAGCTAAACAATTAAAGTGGAATTTTTTCAATTTTATTGAATCTATTATTGAATTTACTCGTTTATAAAACATTTTGAACTATTTTTCAATTTTGTTCAAGTAATTTTAGTTTAGAGTCTTACTTATTAGCTCTAAATCGCACAAAGTTCGAATATGAAAATTAAAAACACACATTAGTAGTACAAAAAAGTTATTAAATCATGTTGAAGTTAGTAGTTTTGATTGTTGCAATAAAATGTGAAATGTTTTATTAATCAGAACAATAAAAAAGATGGTTAAAAATAAAAGACATGTAAAGTTATTTTTAATTTAATATTTTTTAGAAGGATACTGTGTACCGTAAAGTAAAATAAAGAATTAATAACAATGTATCGAAAATATTTAAAACGAAACGTTGTTAGCTTTAAGCGCAATTTTTGGTATTTTTTAATAGTATACCTACTACAATCTGTTTTACAATTTTTTTACTGCTACCTACGACATCCCTGCCCTACATATAACTGATAGTTTTTTCAATTTTTTTATACAAAACAAATTTTTATTATTAGAAAAATGTGGTTGTTACACAGCTCGAGGGTCGATTGAAAGAGCCAATCATCGAGACATCTTTGTGTAAATTAATTTTAACTACCAGTATATGTCTTAATAACGTGTAATTATAATTGCTTTCACTGTGTAATTTTTACTTGTCGTACATAATTATATTAATCAGCTGTTACTAACTTAATTATTTGTAAGTGCACATTGCACGATGTACGCGATGTGTAATTTTTTTTATAAAATCGGGTAGTGTTTTCATTTTTACTTTAAAAAATTTGTTTTTTGGTCTCATATCTGCCAATACCAGCCGCATAATTTAATATTTTTCATCGTCTTGAGATATTTTATTATCGTCATACTCCGTCAATAAAGTGGACCTCGTACGTAGCGTGGGCATTATCGATATGCTATATCTGCCTAAATCTACCAAAAATAAACGTACTCACTGGTCATTAGACGTATATTGGGACGTCATAATAATAACCGATAGGCGCAATTAGTTGGCATATTATTCTATATGATATCCCGTGACGTGTCACTATAACCGGAAGTTAGCCCCTTAAAAATTTGCACTACACATTTTTATATGTACCTACTGTAGGCTAACAACCATATGATACATAATTGATTAGTAACTAACAATTTTTTTTATTTCACAAACTAAAAAATTAAGCTCATGAAATATAAATTTAATGACAAATTACAACATTAAAATTGAATAAATACATTATTTTATGTAAGATTTTTCATTTAATTCATATAATATTTGATTCCTCGTAGTGTTCATCTGTACAACATAATATAATTGTCGTTCATTACTAATTGTTGGTGTTTTTTGTTTCTTATTAATTATTAACTACCAATATAATATTCTGCAGTAGCAGCTGGTACCTACCCAATAATATAGTTATGATGAGTTTTTTTCCGCGCAGTGCATCGTCCGGTTGCATCATTCGAATATTATAATATCGTGTTTGTCTTCTCGTCGGGATAACCATATCGAAGTAATAATAATAACGACGACGAAAGAACATCATAGAAAAGAAAACATAGAAAATCGTATTACGTTGTAGGTATAGCCGGTATAGGTATATTGTGTGCGTTTAAGGCTCGGCGGCGAGTAGGTATATAATTCGAAAGCCGAATACGATGCGTACACAATAAGAATAATATAATACTATATATTGTACGAAATATATGAATGTATGAAAATTCGTTTGTCTGTATAATAATATGTAGTTCTCCGTCGCCGGAAATATTCCGTATAATATATACATAAAGCTCATGTGTATAGGTCGGTAGGTACATATTGTGCTGGATTCAAACAGATGTATAAATTATATTATGAATTATTGATTTTTTTCCGCCGTCTATGTAGAGTACGATCTCTCGCGAGTGTGCGGCGGTGGCGAGGGGTTTAAAATTTGAATATTATGCACCCAATACCCATACCTGCCTATGATAGGGACGATGGTGTATATGTAGATACGACGAATTTGGCATGCTCGCCAAGGATATAATAATATATTATTATTATATTATATCATATTAAATCATGTCGAGTTTGGCGAGTAAATAATATAACAATATTTTTCGTGGGTACTGGTATACCGCGGTGGGTAGCTGCGGTATACCTCGTCGCTGGCCGGTTCATGAGTCGCGAGCCAAAAGTGTACTTGGAAAATATTGTTCTGGGCAAACATTTACGAGCACCCTTCTTTACGGGGAAAAAAATACCCCCCTCCCCCGTGTCCACCGTGGCGCTGCTGTAGCAGCCTTCGCACACACGTCGTCGTTATAAATAATCATAGTGATTTTATACACCCCGACTATACGAGTAATTTTCTTTTAAAACCGACCGAAAACGATGATGGTTATGACGATAGGCGCTCTATGCGCAGACTTAAGTATAACATGTACCTATCTACCTACGGCCAACTTGTGTTTGCTTTGCTCGAACACATTCTATACAGGGCGAATCACCAAGCACATTCTCACCTCATTTTTTCTTCGACGAGGCAGTTTTTAAAAATCTTTTCGTGCCACATAACGCGAGTGTTATGTGGAGATACATAAGCTTTTGTTTCTCAAACGATAACCCGCCTTTTCATATTTTCACAATTAAAATTGACTTACCTTTCTGAATCAAAATTCGCTGGAGTAATTTTTGAGTTACTTAACCAAGGATAAAGGGTCCACGGTATTAGGCTCATAAGATGGGGGGGGGGGGGGGGTATGGTGACTTGAACATTTTAGTCATTTATACTAATCTATTCACATTGATAATGTTTTTTGTAAAAATGGCTCTACTATATTTTATTATACTAGTTCCAATATTAGGTCTATTTTATATTTTTGTAAGATCATTTTCGTGGACTGTTATCCTTAGAACAAATATTTTAACTACTCTACTCGTTTGAATTTTAAATTGAGTACCTACTTCAAAATGTTCAAAAAAATAATCTACTGAATAATTTTCGACAAAAAATGGAGGTGCTCGTCTTATAACAGAAGTTTTTACAGCCGCCGGACGCTTCATAAAAACAAATCTCATGCATTTGAAAATACGCTTTCAAAGCGTGTTTGACATGTTTTCTAAAAAATCACCACTCGAATCGGCTGATTGTCAAAGGAAAATGTATCGGTTGGGTGGATACCCTCCCCCCTCCCCACCCATGTATAGACTTGAGCACAGACGGTGTATACACAATACGCGGTGCGCCGGTGCCTAACCCACCTATACTATATATAGGTCGTAGCCCGTAGGTCATACCTATATATATAGTCAAACCTAATATACATACGCACACCGCAGATCGTCGGATAACAGTATTTTCCAAATGTGTCTGCAGGAAGCACATAGAAAAGCATTCCTGTATGGGCGCGAAGTCGTACACCGCGAGCTCCACCTATTCCCGTGCATAACATTAATATCATTAAATATATATATAGGTACATTGTACAAGGTACCTTTCGTCATATATCATACAAGCCATATTGCAACCATTAACAATTAAACGTCGCATTGTGCGCGTTTACGTATACTATATTATTATTATTGCTGTTATTTGTCGTTATATTGTTATTACTATAATATTACAACTATATATTATTATTATTATTATTATTATTATTATTATGATGCTAATCCGTTTTTTCTCTTTTCTTTCTTTTTTTCATGCAAATTTCAGGAGTGAAATGTGAGTATCAGTAAATCTATTTTATGTGTGTGTATTGTATAATATGTAGTTATTGTAATATAGTATTGTACAAATTCTGATTGTATATGCACAGCCGTTGTCGATTGTAATGCAAACGCACGCTTAGTATAATATGTATTATATCGTATATTTCATTATGTATAAGTAAGTAGTATACACTAGTGATAACTATGTAGTTAAATTTTTTTTATTTTATATACAAGACGTGTTGACAGAATAATAATATAATAATATATTATTGTCACAAGCATCACGGCCGTATATTGTACCTACACTTCAACTGTAATAATTGATGTTAATTTAAGTAACGGGCTTGGGCCACGTACGTGAAATTAGCCCCCCCCCCCCCCGTTTTAAGCTATCGACTCAAAGTCGGTGCCAACTGATTTACAACTGATTCGCAGCAATTCGCATCGCCAATTTTGACGTTTTTAATTGAAACCCAATCTCCGGAAAATCCGATTTCTCGACGATTTTTCTCCCTGCGGCCGGGAGACGGTACTAATTTTTTTATTACCCACTATATGCACTCAATTGTCTGTGCAAACTTTACCAAAACATAACAATAATGGGATGGAACCACATCTTTCTTTTTTCCTTTTTTGTCACTTTGCAGTGCCATCTAACCCGGTACTTTTTAGGCAGGTGCTATTGATGAGTGTGTTTTTTTTTTCATCTTAGTAGGTCATCTTTCGAGTCTTCTGAGTAGTACATCATTAACGGGAATTGAAATGGAGGAAGATTGTTATTCGATTACTGGGTTAGTGAGAGTTTAAGTTGGTATGAAATTTAAAGTAATATGATTTGACCGATTGATCGAGGGTACGAATTTTTAGGTCTTTGTGAAGATTTTTGTTTGTGAAATACCGAGGAAAATCGTCTGAAGCGTTTTATTATTAGAACTCCATAACTGAATACGTACTGTAACTGGTCGAATTATTATCTTGTATATTATGGCGATTTTATTAGATAGGGAGTGTTTGGATTTCTAGAGTGGCTTAGGAGGTGGAGTCTAGAATTTAGTGTTTTACGGTTGAGTTGTACGAGTTTTGTGGGCTGCAGGTTGGAGGTTCATTTAGAGTTATGGACCAAGATCATCAATTTAATTTTCTCCACATTTTTAATTTAAATTATTGCAATTTACCTAATAAATTTACGTAACAAATAATTGGTTAGTGAAATATAATATTTCTGTTTTTTTTTTAAAGTATTTTATTAATTACTCACTAATTTTTACTAATTTGTACATAAAATATCTATAATTAATTTACATTTTTTTTCTTTCTGTATGTCTTAGTGAATTTCTTGAAATATGTCAATTAAAATGGACTTGATTGATGAATTATTTAAAGTACATATTAAAACGTTTAAAAAACAATTATTATTATTTATTTTAAAGTGGCTCTAATTACCAAAATTAATTTTTAAATGTGGTGTTTTTATGTAGGTACTTTTGTAGGTACCAACAAATATTCGATTGTTCATATTTTGGTCTTAAACAAAAAGTAACGAATCCAGTATAAAATCTATGCAGTAAATTAGTTTAAAATTGTTTAACTCAAATTCATTAATTCAATGCAAAATTATTATATCAAAAAGTTTACTTTTAAGATTTCTGACACTTTATAGCTCGGGTCCATGTGAAGTAATTTACTTTGACTTTTCATTTGTTATACATAGCAGACATATTATGATATTGTTAGATTTTGGCTCTTTTGTTGAAAGCCATAAGGATAGAAGCTTTTGAATTATCTTTACTCGACGAATTTCTCAAGCCACTTTTAATAACTTTTACAATTGAAATTGAGTATTCACGAGCCGCCAACTATAAAGTTTTAAAATAAATATTTAAACTAGTGCAAAATAAAAAACCTTAAGCAATAGAAATAATAGTTAAAAGCTTGGCTTGAGTTAGACCCTTATAAAAACAATATAGTTAAGGTGTATATGCGTTACAAAACTTATACCCCATTAAAACGTAAGAGCATTGAATATCACAAGTTTTTTTCTTCCCTAGAATTTTATTTTTTCATCGATATGGACCTTATATTTATTCGTTGTCATTAAATTATTATATTTGTCCATATGAATCAACAGTAATGAATTTTTAATGTTATTGCAACTTAAACCAAAATTGAATAACTTTGCAGATTATAGACATACCACATATAAGTAGTAATATCCCTGTTAAAGTTTTTTAGTTTAAAGCAAAGTACATAAAAAATTATTTTCCGGAAAATCATTTTTAAAACTATCTGAATAACAAACACGCTAAATCTAAAATATATTTTATTTTATGATCATTTTTTATGAACCTTCTCTCCACACTCATCCAACCATACTTAATCAGTTCGAGTATTAAGTAATATTATATTTTTAAATTGCTGAAAAAGTGGTTTTTTGTGAACGGGTCGAATTGTATACATTCATCATCTTTGTTTAATTGAGTTGATTTAAATGTCGACAAGTACCAACAAACATAATATTGTATTTATAAAACGGAATTTCACACAAAAAAGTCTAATCATAAATATTAATCAAGTGGCCCACACAAAGTCTGACCCAACGGGAAAGTTCTAGATTTTTCGATAGGACAAATCTGCCCCTGAATATTATATAAAGTGTGTTCTGGAGGTTGGAGGTAACATCGAATCGGCAGCTGAGAGTCGATTTTCTGGCCCTTACCGAGAGATTTGCAGGCCGATCAATTAGGGAGGAGCTTGTGCTTTGCAGTAAAACTTAGTAGAGTATTGGGAAAGTTGCAGGACCCCAAGTGAGTGATAGAGATTTAGAGCCCTTTGTCTGGGCATTGAAAAAATTAGTGAGATCTCGGTGATATTTCGGATTACTAGTCTGGTTAGAACGATGAGTTCGAATTCTCTAATGTTTTTTTTTTTGTTGAATTTCTAATTTAAAATTCAATTTGGCTTATAATCATATTATTGTGTTTGTTATTATTCATTCAAAAAACCGGTGCCTAAGCTCTAATACTATTTGATGTCTAATTACAAGGTGATTATTTTATAATACTCAATTCGTCAAAAAGTATTTACGTTTTTGTAATTGTGATTTGTTTTCACATGGTTTAACATTTCACTGCCACACTACTTATAATTCTCTGCAGCCTGTGTACGCTACGTACTTTTCATTTATTTTTTAAATTTAAATTTAAATATTGAGATCTATATGGTCTAATTATTTAAGTTTAAAATAATGCGAGCCAGGGTTTGCTAAAATTGTACAGTTACCGGCAAATGATAATATTAGAAAAAATATTAATAACATAAATTGAATAGTACGTGTAGCCATATGGAGCAAATGTTTTTGACATAATAGTTTGTCTAGAGAATTGAAAGGGTTAAAATTAATTTTTTTTTCGGCTTTCAAGACTATTTTTTTTAAAACTATTTTGAATTACAGATTTTTTTTAAACTTTAATTTTTATTCCTATGCAGAATATTTTTCTGAAAATGTTAAATTGGTCATTTAAAAAATTATAAGTATTTATAGACTAAAGACGAATGTCACATGATTTTCTAAAAAATGTCGGTCCACTGATCTAAACTTTAGTCCATAAAAAAAAAACATAAAATATATACCTATTGAATATACAGCCTATATACATGTATATATATAACCTATATCGTTTCGAATACATAATGATAATCTTCTAGTCGCATTCACATGACTTTTTTCAAAACCGTTAATAGTTATAAGGAAAATTACAGTATTTATCAAAAACCAATTTGTACAACAAAGTATATTTTTTTACCACTATCGACGTTTTAAAAACCAAATCGTTCACTCCGATCGAACAATAGGTACACAGCTACTTTATATTCATTGTATCATTATATATAATTTATTAATTTAAAGTTTACACCACACGGGGTCATAGAGAATAATTATTGTTTTATTTTCCAATTAATCATGTTTGCAGCATTCAATAAGAAAATTACTTTTTCGAGTAGGTAGATTCTTCGCAAAAAATAAACGTCCTCATGACATTTACCTACTTGTTGTTTGATTAATTCGTTTATAAATTGTATAACTTGTTATGAATTGTTTACGTTGGTACGCGAAGGCTCTTCGAAAGTAAAAAAAAAACTCATGTCTCCGATCGTTTCGACAGCAGCACCACTTAGTTTATCCTGACTACTTTTAAAATTAGAACTTCAGCTCTTTTTTTCAGAATCCAATTAGTTAGGTAGGTTATATAAGAGTTTGACATTTTTCAATAGTTATTTTGTTTTAATAACATTTTATTTTTAGGATGAACTTTTCAAGCCATTTTATATTCAGCACCGATGTGTACAAGATTTACTTAGACAAAATTATTTAAACATTTTATTATTTACTTTTTTTTTGGTATAATTTCTTTCGAAACGTTGCTCGATGCATTAACGGTCGCGGCTTCTTCTCGGATTTTATTTGTGTCAAATGAAACTCTCCTCGCTACCACGCTTGGTCTTTTTTCCTGCAGACATTTAATCAACAAAATTAAACTAAGCCAAACTCAGCAAACGACTTTATAATTATTATTTTTTTTTTTAAGATTCTTCGTAAACGTCCTCAATGCTTTGCTAAGTATAAAATGTCACATAAAGTGTATTAGTAGGTAGGTATAGGTAGGTAGGTATATCTTTGTATTAGTCGGTCTCTTTTAATTTATAATTCTCTGTTTTTGCATTTCTGATGTTCAACGGAAGTCTTGTGGAAAGTTGATTAAAATAAAAATAAGATTTATAGCTTGAAATGGGTAAGTATATATATATATGAATATAGGTATAGCTAATACCCACGTGACATTTTAATTGTGCGTGGACTGTAAAATTGCAATTTAAAGTAAATGATTATTTCTGACGGGAAGGTTTACCTAGGTAATAAGTGTATATTATGAATAGCATCGAAACTTTATTTAAGTCTACCTGCCATTTATTGTGCTTCACGGACTTGAATAATACAGACTTCTTTAGGAG